ATAGTATAATAATAATTTGATGAAATCGAATGACATCGTGTAAAAGTTCCCTCGTGGAAGTGAAAGAGGTAACGTTAAGTGTGCTACACGATGAATGCTAATGAGTTAGGTTTTTATATCGAGTATAAGGGAAAACATTAAATTTTCTATCATATCAGGGTTAGGTTCGAGGAGAAAGTGATAAAAATTAAACTTAAAGAATAATTCAATACATTTTTTAAAAATACATGACGAGGAGATTTAAATAAATATTTAATAAACAACGGTGCCCGAAAGGAGTGAAGAAGATATTTTGTAGTAACTATTACACTTAAAAAAAGAAGAGTTGAGTGGAATTCAAAACAAAAGAGAAGATAGATTAACATTAACCGTATTTGGAGCAATGGAATTCATGTTGACGTTTTAAATTAAACACTCGCTGTCAATCTTCGTCCAACTGGAATTTCACTCTCAGTAGATTTAGTAACCCTATCTGACAAACAAGCACGCAACAATAGAATGACATGTGGATGGTAAGATACATGTGATGAATTTTCATTGAAATGTTAAGTCGCAGTAAAATTTTATAAAATATATTTCGATAATCTTATACTCGTACATACAATATAGTTAACATTTTAATTGTATGTTACCGAAACAACTATTTAAGTGATAAAATTAATAATCATTTTATATTAATATAACTGAGTTACGATAACTTTAATTTTAAAATACTTAAATTGCAAGTTGAGTCATCATTGAATCAAGTTACCACCGTTTGGTTGTGTATAGTAATATAGCTATAAAATTTAATATTCTACATATATTATATTTTAATATATTTTATATTAAAAATAAAATAAAATATAAAATGTTTATAAAATTAGATAGGAATTAAATAAATATTCTAACAAGTAAATTATTTTGAAAAATAACATGAATAAAAACCTTAAGTCTCGTTTCGTGTTTACTATTTTAGTGAACAGTCACGTTGAGAAAATATTGTAAAATATAATGTACACATGATATAAATTGGACAGATGTAAAATTACAAATTACAAATTCAAATCAGTTTTAATTGAATGACTGAAATAAGAAATATTTTATTATATGATATATTTGGCAGCATGGTGGGGTTTTTATTAAGCGATGCAAAAATCACTAAAAAAAATATTTTCCATACTAAGTGTTTGAATGATTCATAAATCAAGTCTTGATATTTATGAAATACCTATAGTGGACAGTAAACTAATTGTAATTACATAAATGTATTTAAATTAAAAATGTAACTTATAAAAGTATACTCAATGGAAATTTAACTATATGAAGAATTTGAAATAATTATATTTTATATTAAAAATTGATTTAGTTTGTGATAAAATTATATTATATTAGACCAGCATTACGTTTTGAAAAATACTAAAACTGTAAAAATAAATATAATAAACAATGTTATACAGTTGACCCATAAGTCCCGTATCATCCTTGATATCTCCATAGGAAATCAATATATTTAAACACGGTTTTATTTACAATACTTAGCATGGAAATTCTGATTGAATGGCATAAAATTCAAAAATTCAAAATAAAATGTTTATGCATTTTAGAATTTTCAATTTTTAAGATAGCCATTTTCTTGAGCATATTTTTTTAAAACAATTCAAAAAAAAATATAAAAATTGAATAAAAATTAACCAAGTTAGAGCAAGTTATGTTTTTGAATAATTATAAAAAAAAATTAATTGTTTCACATTTCAATAATCCAGTGCTTTGATCACCTAGGTCGCCCGACTTAACACCAATGGATTTTTTTTATGGGGTTATTTGAAAAATCTTGTGTATCTGTCGTGTTCATTGCCTCATCTCCGAGACAAAATTGAATAAAATATTCAAAATATTTTACCAGAGATATAGAAAATGTTAAAAACGCTTAGGTCCAAAAACTTCAGCTCTGTGTTACAATTAATAGAGGACACTTCAATCATTTATAAAAAAAAATGTAATGCATTATTTTCGTTTTTATGTAATGAAATCTTTTTTTTTCTATTAACAATCAAGTTTAAAAATATTATATGAATTTTAATTTTAATGTTTCCTAATAGCTCCACTAATAATTAAATATTTACAAATTGCCATAAAAAATCAGTGTTCCAATCGAGATTGATTAAATCGAGCAATTCGTGTTTTGCTAGGTAACAACTATTATTATAATTATTCAAAAACATAACTTGCTCTAACTTGGTCAATTTTTATTCAATTTTAATTTTTTTTTTATTTTTTTTTAACTGTTTTAAAAAATATGCTCAAGAAAATGGCTAAATTAAAAATTGAAAATTCTTAAATGCATAAACATTTTTTTTTTGAATTTTTGAATTTTTTTTAAAAAAATCAAATTTAAAACATTCAATCAGAATTTCCATACTAAGTATTGTAAAAAAAAACGCGTTTAAATATATTGATTTCCCGTGGAGATATTAAGATTGATACGGGACTTTTGGGACATGCTGTTTAGTCCAACATAATCCATAACAATAATATTATCAGAAAAATATTGAATATTATATATGATGATGTTATTTTAGTCATACAAATCTAGAGCATATATTTATATTATAAAAATGTGCATGAATATAATATGTAAATACTTTTATATAATGGTTTTGTTAATGACTAATACAATTATTTGGTACACCGATAATGTGCTGTGTATAAAATAAATACATATATAAAGTTCTGGTGGTACATTTGTCACTTATGACATTTTCACATATGTGAACAATTTTATGATATAACTCCTCTTCCCCCTTTTGTAAAATATGTAACCATAACAATAGTTGTTATTAAAACAAAGGCTTAATAAAATAACTGAACGAAATTGTAATGCAAAAATTTTATAGAATAAGGGTAGGTACCGATAGAAATGAAAACAATTTAAAAACGAAAATAATTCATCTCTTCTATTTCCTAACGATGCCGAAATGCTATCTAAATATAATACGAGATTTAAGTTGTGTTAAAAGGTTAAAAAGTTAAGAAAGAAATAATACAGGTTGAAAACCACTCCAAATGAATAAAAATGAAAAAAAGTGTTTTGGAAAATAATATATTCTGACTGATGAATATAATAAAACTAGTATTGATAAAAAAGGTTGACAAAGTAAGTCACTTATATGGTATTATTTGCTGTAGAAAAAATAATGGAAAATCAATGTTTAGCACTGAATTGAAGTTTTTCCATAAAAGAAGTGTGAAATTATTTAAAAATAAAAATATTTAGATAATGTTATTGAATATCATCCGTAGTAAAGACTTAACACAAGTACACTTATAAAAAATATGATTTTTTCACCTTAATCTATTCAATTATTTCAATTCTGGTATCAAAATTTAATATATATACAGATTTATACAATTATATTTAGGATGACTATTGATGTTATTTATTCTTTATTCATTTATTATAAGAGTCTAAACCCAGTTAAACATTAAAAATATTTATTTAAAAATGATTGTAATTTTATATGTGAAGTAAATACAAAAAATCGAAATAAATAAATATTGACCATAGTTTTTCGTTTCCAATAAAATTATTATATATTTTCAAAAATAAACAAATAATAAAATATATAAAAAATTATTTTATTTATAGATAAAAAAAAGAATATATTATTTATAAGAATACAAAAATCATACGAATATCAGTACTACAAAAAATTTTAAAGGATATTGATTTATATCTTATACATGTACAACTTTATTGTTGCACAACTAATTATGTGTTAGTGTTTATGTGGAAGTGTGCTTGTTTCAAGTATTTAATTTGAATTTTTTGTAAAATACGTGACGTTATGTAGAAATATTTTTAGTAAATTTTAATTATTTCAAAACCAACAAACTTAATTTAAGTTATTTATAAAATTCCTCAAATTTATTTAAACTTCGATCATATCAACGTAACATAAATAATTCAAAATTTGCACATACGTATCTAATAGTGTCGTACATTTTAATACGAGGAATTATAAAATATTGATAGCAATGATACTAGTACTTCGTTTATAATAATAATTACAAAGAGGTATTCATTTTAGGCCCGGAATAGAAAATTATTAAATTACACTGTATTAATAATAATAATAAACAATAATAATAAACCTAATAGACAACTTCTTTTCTCTTTTCTTTCGTCTTTAGGCTATATTTCTCCCGTTTCTAATCTTCTTCTTAACTCCCGTTACATCCCTATCATCCGTTCTCTTATCCAATTCATTCATACCGCTGGCTTCCTCATATAACGCTAATATGTAATTACATTATCTGTTAATTTTTTTTTTTTCTTTATTTGTCTGTTTTCCTTTTTTGATACATAATTATTTTATAATCGCTTTGCTATAATTATTTTTTTAATAAAAGGCAATTTTTTTTTTTAAAAAAAAAAAAAATACACTGTATTAATATTTGGTACATTATCTATAAATAAATTTAAAATATGAATCAGTAGATTATTTATTTAAATCACATTTATAAAACCGATTAACGTGCAATAGAATGTTGAATTTGAGAAATTGACTTTATTTAAGTCATAATCCGTAAATTGATGAATAAATGGATTAATTATATAAAAAGTGTCTTTCGTAAATATTCGATCATTTATTGTGTGTTGAATTAAAAAAAATAACTTTATACAACCATTCAAATAAAACTATATTATAGAATCATAACTTTGGTTCAGAAAAATACATATTATATTATATTATATAGAACCTTAATTTGACAATGTGGCATCATATTATAAATTTATGTTTAATGAATAAAAATATATATTTGATTTCATAACTATAACATAAATAGTACACAGTTTAACATAACAAAGAAAATTGCAAACATTATCAACAATTACCATTATTCCACACATCTAAAACAAGATCCCTACATAATTTTGTAGGACTTTCAATTAGTATCTACTTATAACTATAATTGTGCTGTACATAAAAGTGTATGACATAGACTAAAAAACTTACCTTCTTATGTTTTTATTGCTATTGGTACTATTTTCCTTAATGAAATCTAAAACAAAATTAATTAAAGTATTACAATTTTAAAATGTAGGTAAGTATATATTATTACATATTATTTTAACTATTTTAAATTAAAATTTCTTGATTAACCCATTAGCGGCCAAAGTTGCGTATATGCAACATTTATTTTAATATTTTTTTTTGGTAGGATTAAATTTTTATTTTAATTCAACTGTAACACTTTTCGTTTAAGAAGATAAAAAATAATGAAGAATAATCATTAGTAATTGTTTCTCATACATATAATATTTATTATACATCTCACAAGTAAGACAGTTTTTATGTCCAAAATACTTCGAACTTATAAAATTAATTTTAATTTTAATTTTAAATATTTAATCAATCCAATATAAAAATTGATAAATATAAATGTTATATGATGTATACATATGTTCTGAATCGTCATTAATTTATTCTTTAGGTTAAAAAATTACCCTTTAAATTAATGTTGCGTATACGCAACGATGGCGGTTTATAATATAAAGTGTAATAGTGTATATATTCGAACACCGTCTGATGTAGAAAATAGCTCACACATTGGGTTTTCCTGCCATAAAAATTATACGCGAAACTTATCTTATCAATATACGGATTTAGGTATAATATACTAATATAATAAAGGTACCTTTCTATTCTACAATTCTATAACTACAATTCTATTTTATATGTTATAAATTGAGAGACGTTTTCTTATTTCGTTGTATTTCATTTCTAGTAGTTTTCTTGATTATTTCAACGAATATTTAGTAAGTACATTTTATTATTATACAATATTTTATAATTTTGTAATTATTATTAGGTACGTACATTTGATAGTACTATATTGAAGTAGGTAATTCTATCGATGAACTACGTAAAATTGGTTTCTATGTTAGGTATACCGTATACTAGGTACCTATTATAATTTAAAATTTTGAAACTAAATTTTAATTGGAATACCTACGAGAGCACTGATTATTTTATTTGGGTTAAATATATTTCTCTTTTCATTGTAGAAATGAGTAAAATCGTCTAAACACATCGCTGAAGTATTGGATGAATTTGAGGTTATTTCTGACAATGAATCGATTGACGTTATTATAATTCCGCCCGATGTAGATAGTTTGACTGATGAAGAACATTTCGATGATAATGAAGTGGCTATAAACGATGTCGTGGATGTTCCACTCGATGTTTGTGGAACATTTGAAATTTTAACGTCTTGTTCTGATGGGGATAATTCTTCAAAACCAAATCCTTTTAAAAAACGTAAAGAGACACTCCCAAAATGGAAATCAAAAATGCATCCCACCTATACTGATATACCCATAAACGAAGAACAAAAATGTGTTATTCAATTAGTTGAAAAATATGGAGGGACGAATGTGTTGCAATGTTTTTTATTATTTTTTGATGATACTGTGATTGATCTTATAATAGACAATTCAAATAAATATGCTACCTACTGTAATAGGCATAATTTTTCTTTAAAAAAGACGGATCTATTAAAATTTATTGGTATTATGATCTTAACTAGTTACCATAGTTTACCTAAAATCGACAACTATTGGTCAAAAGATGAAGACAAAGAAGTACTTTTAGTAAGGAAAACAATGTCGAGGAATAAATTTAAAACTATAAAACAAAATTTACATTTATCTGACAATAAAAACCTTGATTTGACAGATAAATTTGCTAAGTTACGACCCTTTTTCAATAAATTGAACGAAAAGTTTTCTCAGTTCGGAATTTTTTCTCATAACCTCTCAATAGACGAAGAAATGGTGCCATATTTCGGACGACATTCTTGTAAAATGTTCATAAAAGGGAAGCCTGTCAGATTTGGTTTCAAGTTGTGGTGCTTGACTTCTGAGAATGGCTATTTGTACAAATTTTTACCATATGGTGGTGCTAGCACGAAAAGGGCGGAAGGTTTACCTCTTGGTTCAGAGGTTGTTCTTAGTTTATTAGAAATAGTTGATAAACCACAATATCATAAAATATTTTTCGATAACTTCTTCACAAGTTATAAATTACTATCCATGTTGAAAGAAAAACATTTTTTTGCGACTGGAACAGTTCGGGATAATCGAACAGGAAATTGTAATTTGAAATCATTGAAACTAATGGCTAAAGAACCAAAAGGCACTTTTGATTTCACTTTTGATAGTGAAAATGAAATAGGTGCGGTTCGTTGGTACGACAACGCTGTTGTTACAATTATGTCTAACGTAGATACCATTGAGCCCTTACATGCTGCTAAACGTTATGATAGAAAACAGAAAAAGCAAACAAGTGTACAACAGCCAAATATGATTTATAATTATAATAAAAATATGGGTGGTGTAGACCTCCATGATAATGGTATTGCAAACTATCGAATAAAAATACGTGGCAAAAAATGGTGGTGGCCATTATTTAGCAATGCAGTGGATAGTACTATCGTCAATGCGTGGAAGTTTTACAACATGGTAAATAAAGAAAAAGTTCCACAACTTGACTTTAGATCAGAATTAGTTCTTTGTCTATTAAAAGTTGAAACGAGCCAAAAAGATAATGATGACAATGAGTCTCAACATTCAACAACTAGCAACATTAGTTTAGGTCAACCTTCACAAAACAGCCTCCCAGATGCCATTAGGAAAGACTGTATTGACCACATTATTATAAAAGATACGGTCAGAAGAAGATGTCGCCAATGCTCGTCTCAAACAATTTATTCATGCAAAAAATGTACTGTGTCTCTTCATCCACACTGCTTTGCAATGTTTCATGATAAATAATTCAATTTTTTTTTTTTTAATTTGTACTTACAATTTACATATTTCACCAGTAGTTTATAATATAATAATTTTTACTTTTATGCAAAAATACATTTAACTTAGTTTGTGGAAATACTTTTTTTGAATATGATACTCTTAATACTCTATTCGAATAAAAATTATTAAAGTCTATAAATGTGAAAAATGTATTTCCTATTTACAATATTATTAACTGTTAACGGTCAAAGTTGCGTATACGCAACATTTTTTTCCACGAATAGGCCAATAGAAAAATTTAAAAAAAAATAATTTTGTCACTAGTACTCTATAAATATCCCAAATTAGTTGAAAAATGTGCATTTTTTCATTTTTTTATTATATTGGCCGTAAATGGGTTAAACAAAAATAAACTAATTTTTTAAATATTTTAACTTGTTTTTTACATAATATTTATTTTTATGTGTTTTATATTAAAACCTATCACAAGTCAATGGATGAGTTTTGCGCTTTAAATGTTTGGCAACCATTTTACCTTTGCGGTCCAAAAACATTCGAACGAGTTTAGGGTATGAATCATTAAGAATTTTAATTTTGAGTCAAAGTATTCTATTATTATTAGATACGAGTATGTAGTAATTCATCAATACACCTATAGACATATTAATTCATCAATACACCTATAGACATATATTTTTAATATTTGCCCATAGTCCATGTAATTATTAACGAATAAATACCTTATTTTATCAAGATTTGAGTTATAAAACCATAATGTTTATATTATTGTGCATTAATAACAAATTATTAATAAAAAATAAAAATAAAAATGAGTGCTAACAACAAATACCAATTTAAATTTATAAAATGATAATAAACAGAGTAGTATATATTTACATTAATGTGTATAGCCTCCAATATAGAAATCTTTGAGTGGAATCAAATGTTAATAGCCATCAATAGTATAACATTTTGAACCGGAAAAAGAAGAGGTAGAACCCAGAATGTCAATCAATATAACAGATGGTTCCAATGATTTTCAATACCACACTGTTACTGTAAATTGTAATGACATAGTTATGGGGATATAGATATTTTAACTTTAAATATTGGAATGGTAAAATGTAATAATTCTTCTCTGATTCAATATTAACTCAAAAGTTATACCATTGGCGATAATACAGTTTTTGTTATTAATTTATTTTTCAAAGTATGATAACGTAAATAAATTGAATATAATTATTAAAGTATCGTGCACATTTTTTAACTCTTATTTTTTATATTTTCATTTAGCTCATAAACTATGCCTGAAATTAACGAAATTTTTTTAATTTCACATATATATATATATATATACCAATTTCGATTTAAACTTTCAATATATGTTTTCAATATCTCTGCAATTTACATATTTAATTACAATTGAAATATAACAACTTGATGATTTAAAATCAACCGGGAGCTGTTTTATTGCATCATACCATAAAGTATAACCTAGTTTGTTTAATTTCTACAACTTTAAAATTTCACTACCTAACAATATCTTTCTATTACGCCCCAGTAATGTATGTTGTAAATTACTTTTGAGACATCACATATTGATTTAATATTACGTGTCTGCAAAATAATTTTAAACGATATTTATAGTTCATATAATATTACTCTGATGACAACAGAATTGTCCATACATACAGACAGTTTATAAATATATATAGCTATAAGCAATTAAATTAATTATACATTTTTAGTATATTATTAAAATTCATAATTATTTTATGTACATGGTAAGTAGTAAAAATGTATGTTTTTTTTTAAACTTTTAGTTTTTTATTATATATATAATAGACCTTTGTTGTTGACGCATTGTAATTGAAGTAAAATAAATTATTATCTATATTGATTATCATTTATTATTTATAAAATGTTAAATATTTATTATTTATACATAAAAAATGTATATTATATAGTATTATAGGTCTTTTATGATTTTAGTAAAATAAGTACCTATAAAACTGTGGTTTGAAATATCACGGCGATGTTTATAATGAAAAACTATTGAGACATCTATAAAATATGGGTTATGTTTCATAAACGTTACATTTTAATGTATGTTGAATGTCAGGTTTGAATTTTGTAAAGATATAATTAAGATGTGTTAAATAGGTGTCTTATAAGTGAGTATTTTTCATCATTATACTACAAATATGGTCTCAAAGATGTTATTCCTACACTTGTAGAATGCATTTTTTGATATTCCTAGTTTCATCGAAACAACCAAGCAACGTTAGGGGTACAAACTAATGCACAGTGGAAATATTCTCAACTAAAAAACACAAAATAATGTTTCATAATTTTACAAATACAATTTGTAAAGCATATTGTAAAACTAACTTTTTGATTTTCTTAGACATTTTTAAAAAATTAACAAAAACTAAGAAAACCGCTTTGAAAATTATGTTAAAACTAAACTTGTGAATTATTTGGTTTGGTAATAAACTCATAAAATGAATATAAATATTAATTTCAGATAAACCAGTTTTTAATGGTTAGTTTATCAAATTTCAGAAAAATACAAATATATTGTTGGCATTTAGAATTAATAATCAATCAGACATCGTGAAAATACTCGATTTTATTATGAAGATTTTGTTTGAAAATACGTCTCAACTTATAATAGTATTTATTTATCAAATGCCCATTAACAATAAATTATTAAGTGTTTGGTGTTAAGTCAGTGGTGCCCAACCTGCGGCCCGTGGGCCACATATGGCCCGCGAAGGTATTCTATGTGGCCCATTACGAATTTTCTAAAATAAAATAAAAATTTTAAAAATGTATAAAAACATTTTTAAATTATTTATTTTCATATACTCGTATTACTTTTATATAAATTTATGAATTTGTTTAAATAATTATCCCAAAAAATAAAATTATAATGATAATAATAAAACTAAAAATTATACAAAAATATTATACTCTTATTTTTAATGTGAAATTTGAGCTTATACTCCTTTTACTAATAATGAAAAATCTGGTTGAAATTTAGTGGTTCCAATCCTCAACATTTTGTGAAGGTGTTTATCCGTAAGTCACGATCTATGAACCGATTTTGTTTGTTTCATTGGTGAAAATATTTGTTCGTATATATACGTCCAGCCAAATACATTATAGTCTCTTAAAGTAGGGAAATCTTCATGTGGAAGTTTTGAAATCGTTTTGTTTCATTTTTTGAAATTCATCGGAGTAAAATTAATTTATTTACAACTCAATAACTTCAAGTTGAAGAAAAGTGTCGATCATTTTCGTCAATATTAAATGGATTTTCAAATAAACACCATAATTTTTCATGTAATTAACATCAGAAACTCGAGATGAAAAATCGGTTTCCGACTTCTTTAACATTTCTACAAATCGATTTGTTGAACATAACGGTTTTGTTTCATTTTTAGACATTTGGCAGTTTTCAAAATGGCTAAAGTCACTGCGCTCAATTTGATCAATAAATAATTTTAATATTGCATCAAATGCTTTAACAGTATTATACATGTCAAATATAAGTTTTCCAGGTCCTTATAATTTTAAATTTTAAATATTTAAATGTAGGTACTTAAAATAACGTACTGATCAAACTAATGTGTACCTACGATGTATACCTCAATTCATAATTTTTTTTTAATGGACAATAAAATATAAGAAAACAAGTCCAATATATAACATTATTTTTGTACTTTTATACTTTGTGGCCCGTTTGAAGATAATTGTTTACCAAAGTGTCCCCCCCAAAGGAAAAAGGTTGGGCATCACTGTGTTAAGTCATGATTTAAACTTTCACTTTTATTAAATTTGTAATAAACATACCCGTAATTTTAAAATTTATAATTTTACTTAAGCTTTTAACAAACATAAGTAAAATTATAGCAATTGGCCACGTTCCAATGAGTGTATTCACAATACAATATTTTGTAAATGGTACGCTTTTACGCATACCATAAAACGACGTATAATAAACCTCGAATGTGAGTGTTTTCAAAGTTTGCGCACGACAGTTCGTATATGCACACAATAACTGACGTATTTAATACTGAAAATTATCATTAAAACTCTAGATCATGATTAAACTGATCGGTATTAGCAAGATAACTGGCTTCATGTCATCTAAACATTCGAAATATATTCATTTTTCTAAACGTTTTTTTTTAAAAAAATAAAAGACAATCTAGCTTTAAATTTTAGACCAGCGATTCCCAAATTGTGGGGCGCAATTAAAATTGTATTAAACATTTATAATTAGTTAGTTATAATTTTAACAACTACTGGTAGAAATATAGAATCTATATTATAGATAATCATAATAAATTATAAATTTTGAATTAAATGAAGGAAAGGGGATTTTAGATATTTTTTCTTGTATAATTAGTGTGATTTAATTATATATGGACGAAACTAGCGAATAAAAACAGGAAAAAATGTTTTATGAAGATTAATTAAGAAAATAAAATTTCGAATTACCTTCTGAAATAAAGAATTTAGGTTGTAGAGAATGAAATATTGATATTTTGTAAGAGTTTAAATATTAATTTTTGAAAAAATAAGCAATATCAAATACTAGATACCACTATAATATAATAATATATTGAAAACATATTTTAAAATATAATAAGTTAATTAAAAAAGAGCATTATGGTGGAGTGGAATATGTTTAAACGTAGAGTTGTTGTTTCAAACCCGTCTACTGGTATACTTTCTGAGCGGTAATTCCGCGTCGAGAGAAAGAATCTACAGAACTTCCCACACAATTCATCGCACTCGTCGAGTTCCACTCATGCAACCTTACAGACAAAAACTTACCAACTATCTTTCTCAGAAACACACATAGAAAGGGAGAAATAATAGCTACAAATGTTAAATCCCTTCTTTATCAAAAAAAAAAAAGAAAAAAGTGTTCTAAAAACGTGAGAAAAAAATCACAGAATAATCAGTTTAAATGACGAACGCAGAAAATAAGATAACACATTTTAGATTAA